TCATATTAAAAATAAATACATATTAATAAATTCGTTACAACTCCCTCCTTAGAGAATTAAAAATTGGTTTTAGACAATTTTTAATTGAGTTATTATATATATATATATATATTCATTGGCAAGATTACCTTATCCATAATACATTATTTAAAGGATTATACAGCTTCAATAATGATTACAATATAGAATACAAGCTGTGGAAGTCACTTTATCACCAAAATTCTATAGTACATGAAAGTACACCGGCACAAATGTTATAAACCCTTGTGATATGGATAATCTCCTCATAATAAATAAATTACAATTTAACAGCCTTATGTTTTGTTTTTATCCTTTTCTGTCTTTTTCTTTCTGCCTTTGTCTCTTTCTCTCTTTCTTTGTCTTTCTCTGGTTAGACTTTCCGACAAACTGACAGGTATGACAAGCTTTGCAAAATTGATAAATGTCTTACCTAACTCTGGCCAAACGAAATATCTCATAATTCTGTCTCCTGTCTTGTTGACACCTAAATGATCTCCCATGGGAATTTCATGGGCAACTTTCAGTATTTCTGATCGATATGCTTTGGGAACAACGACTTGATAAACAATAGCCCAATCCTCTGAAGCTGGCACATTTGGTGGTCTCCATTTCCTCATAAGCACACCATTGGTATTTTCTCCAGTTTATATTTCGGGAGTGCGTGTTTAAATAGTGAAGTGATCTGCAAATCTTTTTCTCGTTCAGCGATGAATTTACTTTTAGTAAATGGAACTTCATTAGGTGAATCAGATCCTTTACGTCCATTGTTGTCACTCACCGAGGTATTGTGAGTAGGATGATCATTCACGAAATCCCTGTCGGATCCAAAAAATGTCTGAGACAAATCTATATTATCATCCACTGAATCCGTACTTATCATTTGTTTTTGACTTAATTTTTTAGCCTGAGCTCGAGTCACAGAACACGAGGAAAACACACATCGGGATTCTCCTCAACTACAACATCATCCTTAGATGAAACAGTGATTGGCTCATTAACCATCTTAGGTTCGGCAAAAATAATTGTCTGGGACAAATCTATAACATCATCCTCTCATTCCATGTCTATCCTTTGTTTTTGGCCTAATTTCTCAGTCTGAGCTCGAGTCACAGTACTCGAGGGAAACACACCAGGATTCTCCTCAACTACAACACCGTTCTTTGATGAAACAGTGATCGGCTTGTTAACCATTTATTGCAGTGTATCTCTCACAACAACTACTCAGGTGATGGTATCCACTCAATTGTTAAGTAACTTCCAATGAATCCATCACCTGAGACAGTAGCACCAACATGAGGGCCAGGAATTTTGAAATAGTCATCAAGACCAAGAAGCACAGAAAGATAGTCGAGTGTCATTTCAAAGCACGCAAGGAACACTGCTATCAGAAAACTAAACACAGTAGAATAGTAGAGTGTCCTTTCATGCATGCAAGGAATGCTGCTGTCAGAAAAGCAAGCACGGGGAAATAGTCGAATGTCCTGTCAGAGCATGCAAGGAATGCTGTTGTCAGAAAAAAATAATTTATATGCACATCAAATGGGACTGCTATAACCATTAAAATCTTCCCACAAACTCTTGACTAGTAGACAAAAATTGGTAAAAACATAAAGAAGTTTTGTAAAGGGCTTACCAGGAATATTTTGAGGGTCTTAAATACATTCGAAAGATTATAATTTGTGTAGGCTCCTAACATCATCCCCAACATTTGTGCTTGTGAAATGATTAAAATAAAATATTATCAGATCTGCCCACCACTGCTAAGCACATGTGACTAAATGGACAGAAGCTTATGTGTCAGTACAGAATGACTAAGATCATCAGCATGGGAGAGGACCAAGCATCGAATATAAAGCAGCCAAATATCCAACAGCTGAGAAATAAATTGATCTAGACAAAGAAAGATCTTGCCATGGACAAAAATCTAATCAGATGGATCTCACCTGAAGACTGGAAGCCATTTTCCATCTAAGAAGATCTCACATCATCTATGAGAAGACACTAGGCTCTACAGGTATTAGTATCTTGATTTGAGTAAAGATGACATTTGTTCGACTAATTCAGTTAAAATTATAATACAATGTAAATAATAATTATTATTACAGTTTACACTTGTTGTTTCAGATTAGTTTCAGTTAATGTTCTTATTTTGTACTGTACTGTGAGTATTTTCCAGGGATGGTACACTTGTGAAGATAAGAACAGGGGTGCAGTGCTGCCGGAGTACACTTGAGCATAGCTCCGGCAGTGAAGTTAGAGCTTAGTTCAACACTTCAAAAACCAAATATATGTAAGTAAAAAAGGTATTAAATTTACACCTGATATTAAGTATCTTTCATAACCAAAGGTCACTTTGTTTTAGCTATTCATGTTGGCAATATAGGAGGTATGCAAAGCATGATAAAATTAAATTTGTTAATATTATAGTGCAGTTAGAAATACAGTAAATTAGTGTGATTTGCGATTTGAAAACTTGCTTTAATCTTAGTGATTTTTATTTGGTACACAGTTGTTTTTTTTTGCCTTGCTGCTTAATTTAAAGAAAGTTGAGTTGGTGTCTTCTCTCGCTACTATATGAGTATTCAATTTGGCGTTAATGTAAGTAATCTCAAATAATTAATGTTGAATATATTCCTTCATTTAAAATGGACTCAAAAAATTGAAATTAGACTTTGAGATTTTTACATTTATGGTGACGTCACACGTATGAAAAAGTTTGGTAGGGTTCTGGCACTACAGAATTTAACACTACTACCACTGGATAAGATATTTAAGGGCTTTTCAAAATCATTTTAAAAAACAGTGGACAGATTACAATGACTTAAGATTAAGGTACACTAATATCACTTTTTGTGTTGCCTGGTTTGTAATATAGCCTCATGGTACAGAGAAGATTCAATAATTTACGAACCACCTGAACATACATCTCGCGAAAGCAGAACCAGCGGATCCATAGCCCAGCACGTGACCACGCTCGGCCAAAACAACACGAAAGGAATTAATAAATCAATTCAAGGGGTTTTTTAGTTTCACCTACTCATTAAGACTAGTCACAGGTGGAAAGGTTTCAATCAAAACTGGACTTCATAAAATATGATCATTCTCCTAATGAGTCCTAAAAAAAGATAAATTTTTTAAAGCAAAACATAGTTAATTTGCGAGAGTAAAAAAGCACTGTCTGTAATCCATATACATAGCAAAAAAAGGAAAATTATAAACATATTTGTTAACACAGTTAGAACTTTTAAATACAAGCAGTGAGCTCACATGTAAATCTGTGCGTTTTATAGTGGATAAATAATTGAACACTGTGACGTTTGAAGAATATTTTTACTTTGATTAATAGCAGTTGCTAATTAATAAGGGTATATTTTTTACTTAAAATAGTGTAACGATTATTAGGTATTTGGGACAAATGAAGTTGTAAGATATTCAAAGTAATAAAGTATACATTTGACATTATGTAATACAACATTCGTAAGTTTTTAGTTCTCAATTATAACAAAATCAACCACTAATCAATTATAATAATATGTTTGTGAATGTGGTCTTTGTTCGAACAAGTTCAAAAAATAACTTACATCTTTGATAAAAAAAAATATGGAAATAAGTGAAAAATTATTGGAAATAGAAAATGTTTTATTTTTGTATTTGAATTCAATAAAAAACGTAATTATGACGATGGTTACAATTATAAGCAGAAATGAGAATCATTAAACAAGTTTTCTTTTTACAATATATATATTCATATATTTGTGACGATTATTCTGAGAAAAGACCACAGTATGTATCTGTCACATTAAATAAGATGTAAAACGAAATTGGTAATAATAAATATTCTACTGACGAATTTCCATGGCGTCTAACACTGGTTGTGTTATTGAATTTTCTCCTCCATCTTCTTGTATAGCAGGCCCGGCATGGCCAGGTGGTTAGGGCCTGCTATACAAAATCTGTCATGCTAAAACATTCACCTGAGATTTATCTCTGACATTTTTGAACACTAATATGTTGAGAATTTAAACTCGTGTTATTATACATTTCTCTATCCTGGTGCGACTCGCAATCTGCGGGTCGCGGGTTCGAATCCCCGTCACACCAAACATGGTCGCCCTTTCAGCCGTGGGGGCGTTATAATGTGACGGTCAATTCCACTATTCGTTGGTAAAAGAGTAGCCCAACAGTTGGCGGTGAGTGGTGATGACTAGCTGCCTTCCCTCTAGTCTTACACTGCTAAATTAGGGACGGCTAGCGCAGATAGCCCTCGTGTAGCTTTGCGCGAAATTAAAAACAAACAAACCTTGTACCGCAACGGATGTTAGTTTCATACTTTGATGTTAGCATGGAAGATCAGTACTTAACTTTTATATTTATTCTATCACTAATTTTAATTAATTTTTGATAATGGGGATTAAAATGACCTAGTCATTTCAAAGCTTATAATTCAAGATTGATTTCCTTTAACTTTAAAACTGTGTTGCTACGTGGAAATACAGGGCAAAGTAGAGCATTGTTAATGGCTTAAATTTCAGACATCTGTGTGTGATTCATTAACTGCTGAACTAACAAATACACACAAACTTAAATGGAAGTATGTTTATTTGAAGATTTGAATTTTATGAAACATAGTGTTATAATAAGTGGAGATTGTTTTCAAATGCGAAATGTTTGGTTGTTTATCAGATATCTACTATAACTAAATGGTACCATTTCACGAGCTTTTCCAAAATTTTGGCAATAGGATATACACTTTTCAAAGTTTTCAAAACCTTTATCTAATTTTTAAGAAAGCTGCTTGAACTTTTCAAGTGAACCATGATGCTCTGTTGATTTGGCTGCTTTTCTTAAATAAATGGTAGTCAAGTACAATGATATCCAATAGAAAAATATTAGTTATACACAATACACAGCAAATTCTAAAGAAAATTAAGCAGAGAATAAACGAACATGGCAACAAAGAAAAGAAACAAACACAAGTGTGCAAATAAACGAAACCTTTATTCATAGGACAACTATAGGTATTGCTATGGCTTTACTTAGAAGGGCCAGCCTTTATATTTTATGCGTAACAAATTTCTGGCTGCTAGAGTAGACCAGAAACATGTTTACACAAGACAAAGACAAGAACAATAATTATGATGATAATACACTTGCATTTCAAACGAAAGTCCTGGTGTGGTATCCCACAATACTAGAAAGCCTACATCTATTTAGGCGTGTGGAAATATTCTAACCATACATTCAAGGCAGGGGCAGATTTAATGAGAAACTGAAAACTTTTGTGGCATGTAACTTTGTCTAAGCTAATACAAGTTTATGGTCTTCTACATTCTGTTGACAAGGATGCTGACTAGCTACATGCAGAATACCCGCAACAAAATAAATAAAAAACAACAACAAATAAACCAGAATATAGTTTAATAAAGATCAATGAAATATAGTACTTCAGTAAGACATGTTCTGACATAAAAATTCTGAGTTTTAATAATGCTACAGTAATATTTAGAGGGCCCATATTGCATCCACAGGATCTCCCTTAGTTAGGGGTCGTCAGTGACTGGAGAACAAAGACTGTCGTCTAGGGGAGGTATTTTATGGGCTCCTGGACTGCCTACGTGCAGGCTTTTGACTACAGCTTCCAGTGATGTCCACACCTACTGCACTGCCATAGGCCTATCGCCGCAGGACTTTGGTTGATGTCGTGACGTGCGCTGGACTTGGATTATAGTGAGGAAGAGTTGCGCGAGTCGTCGACCTCACTCTCTCGTCCCTTCCCATCCGGATCCAGTGGCAAGAACAAGTCAAAGAGTGGATAGTTCCACATAGTGCTGTTATGGGGCGAATAGTTTCAATTATGGTCACCAGAAGTTCGTATTTCCATAAAGTACTGCCAGAGGGCACCCCAAAAGTTGGAATAAGTGATGTTGACGTGTGACATCCTTCTATTACATCACAGTAAACTTTGTTTGACTTCGATCGCAAAACTACAAGATATATTAGATTCTGTATTAATTTGATGGTTGGCTTTCTGATTTATAGTTTCACTTAAATATATATCTATAATAATAAAAGGACTTGTCTGTGGATCTATGTGTGTGTGTGACTGCCATAACTGCAAGAGGAAAGAACCTAGAAACCTGAAATTATGCACACGTACTAGGTGGACACAGAGGGTGTGCACCTGGGCATTATTACTTATCCACGTGCGTGCGCGCATGCGCATATTTTTATGAGGCAAGGTAGGAAAAAAACCACAGAGTAAAGAATATGCGACCACCATATTTCCAAGATAAAAGAGCCTAGAAACCTTAAATTGTGCACCCATACTGAGGGGATACATCTGGGTATTATTATTTATACACACGCATGCATGTGTGCATTTTTTTATGAGCCAAGCTAGCGACAAACCACATAGAAAAGAAGTGGTTCCTTATATTGCAAATAGAAATCAAAGAGAGAGACACACACATGTGCGCATGCGCATCTTTTTAATGAGGCAATCTATCGAAAAGCCATATAGAAAAACAAGTGGTTCTTTATATAACAACTTCTAATATTCTAATATATATAAAAAGCCATTGTGTTTTGGTAACAATGCATTTTAACAATGGCTTTTATGTCATGTAGCTTAGCAAGAAACGTATATAGGTTATACTTTATTCTAAAATGGGTTAAGAATACACACACTAACATAGTCATCTAGAATATATAAACCTAATAACCCGAGCAAAGCCGGGTACTTACGTTGGTTTATAATAAACAAAGCATCTGAATTCGTAAAATAAATATTTTATGTCTATTTGTATGGTGTAATTCCGGGTTCACTCATTTGATTGTTCATATACTTGTTCAATTAACTTACAATCTACGAAGTCCTGAAAAGGCTGTTTTTTCGTATTTACACAAAACATTCACATTTTAGATAGATTTTGTATGCATCACATTAACTAACACCTTTCCATTGGCACAGCGGTATGTCTACGAACTTACAACACTAGAAACCGGGTTTCGATACACTTGGTGAGCAGAGAACAGACAGCCCATTGTGTAGCTTTGTGCTTAATTATAAATAAACATTAACTAATGGTAATACTATATAATTTCACTTCATGGTTTACATAGACTATTCATACATTAGTTTATCTTCAAATTCATAGTCCTGAAAAGGCTGTTTCATTTTAACCTAAAAAGTTAAACTCTAGATATTTAATCCCATACATCACGCTACCTAACAAGAATGCAGTATTTCCAAATTAAAATGATTTTTATACACTGTACAATTGTTTAACTTGCAGTTTCAAGAAGTAATTATCTCTGTAGTCGTGTTATTACCCTTTGATTTTACCCTGTATTAATTAAACCGTTTAGAAAATCATTTATTTTAACTGAAGATTGTCCAAGTGTAACGTTTTCTTAATGTATACATCATAAGCATGCAACGCTTACTATGATATGTCGGGTTGTGATATTCTAAATTCATGACTTTTTGTAGATCAATTTGATCACAAATACAATGCTTTTTTGATGAGTACTTTCTTAAGATGAAAATAACACGAATTATAAAACACATTAATACTATGTAGGAATACTGCCCTATGAAGCGCTGTAAAGTGGTTCATAGCTAAGAATACAAAGTCTAGACTAATTTTAGACTAATGTCTTTCTGCCCCAAAATAATTCCGAACGACAAGTTAGATAAATAAAAAAATTTTGTAGACTGATTATTTATCGTACAAATTTTGTTGTTGTGAGTATACATTTTAATTTTTTATTTTAAAATCTACACGAAGTAGTAAATAGCAAACTTTGTTTTTAATTATTTATTATAATATATATATTACACAAGTGCCGGTAATTCATATATTTACGACAGTGGAAGTCACGCAACGCTGGGAGCATGCGAGCTGGAGTTTCTAGAAGGATCGTGACTTATCGGGGAAGAGGGCGTCTAGCAAATACTGGGATATTCGTGAGGTTGATGGTACTGTATAACGTTTGTAGGAGGCCAAAGAGTACTATTTGGCCTGGTTTGCAGAGCATGAATAAAGTGGAAAATATCCATGAATAATTTCAACAAGGGATAGCTGGTGTCTAAGAAATCTTAAGTTTTTGTGTGTGTTTGTGGATGCCTTATTCATGTCACCGGTTTATTCTTAAATTACAGGCTAATCTTGTCATTTACAAATACATTCATGGTAGCACCTCCTGCAGTATTTTAAATTTTTTGTCAAAGATGGTGCATGGTAGTTGAGTATTATATCCTACATGGTGTGCAAGTTATTTCCTATCAGATGGTAAACTTACAGTTTATGGTGTAAATGACTCGAAACACTATATGGAGAGTAGTACAGTGATCTTTCTACAAAACAAAAAAGATTTATTGAACTCATTAGTTGCCCATTGATTTCACTTCTAAAGTTAAGGATAATACACACCTACTGTAAAGACAACAACATCAATGTAATCTAACTAGAACATCTTTTGATTTCAGTCATGTAATTGAGATAATACACACCTATTGTATAGACACCAACATCTGTATAATGTAGCTAGAATATTAATGTTATTTGAACAATCCAAAATAAAAAACAACAACTAGACACTCCATTAATTCCCGTAGATCCTGTTTTATTTTACTGTTTGATTTTTATTTTTTGGATGAGTTACAAGCACTCTCTGTTGAATGAGAATGACTGAACATGGGTAGGACAAGATGCTGTGAATAAATCCGTTGTTTCCCCATAAGTAAGAAACATTAAGTTTAATCAGTTTACAAGGGATCTAAAGTGAGCAGATTAACGGTAAGGCATCATAAGGAAAGAAAAAATCTGTTTATAAATTTACAAGTCCAGTAGAAGTTTATTGTCCTAATGCAAGTATACCCACTGGCTTGAATAAAGATCGCTTTAGTTTATATAACACACTGTGTCCAGTCTGTTTATTTAGTTGCTTGGATTCAATTAGTTTAGTTAAATTCAGACTTAATAACTTTTCCTGCCAATCCTTCTGTTATAAAGCAGGACATACCTAACACTCTTTCAGGAAATCTGTTTAACCGAGAATACCACAATTGGATAGCAATCTCAAATGAGGAAGGTTATGTTAATAAAGTCAACAGTATACTAGAAGATAGAACAAAATTCCAGATGTTAAATATAGATCCAATATCTATTAGAGGAGCAGTATTTGTTGAAGTTAAAGAAGGACAAAATTATAAAACACTTGGCTTTCACGGCGAAAAAACTTGTGGACAAATGAAAATTTATAAACAGAACATTTCTGTAAAATCAATAGTTTCAAATACTAGTACATATAATAATGAATGAACTGTCAATTTTTCTGTCAGCTTTATTTATAAATATATGAATGATGAATTCATCGTTGAAGAGAGCTTTGACTTTTCAACTTCAAAACAGAATTTGAAGTTGAAAAATATGTGTATATGGCCAACTTTTTTATGGAAAATCTTTATAATAACATTCCACAACAAGAGACTAATGTTTTCTTTCTCGGATACAGGAATGATCTTTCTAAATTGGTGTCGTTTGTAGCAAAAGAATCATTTCAACTTTAATGGGACAATTTATAATTAAAATGACTGATGCAATATGGAATCTAAATCTGTACCTACTATAGCTAATTTGATTTTGAGTTTTCATGAAGTACAGCAATTTGTGTTATTTTCTGGTTCACAGGTTTACATCAGAATAGTAAGTCGGGGCATGTTAATTTAACTGGATATCGAGTCAAGAAGTGTGTTACTCTTCAAACTCTGACCGAGTTCGACACACGGATGAAGATAGTACCAAATGCACAGTTGAAACGCATCTATTTATTTTACACAAAAACAAAATTAAAACTAGTTTATATACTAAAAATAGAATCCATTACCTGACTGCTAAAGATCAAACCTGAGCATG